CCCCCCCCCCCCCCCCCCCCCCCCCCCCCCCCCCCCCCCCCCCCCCCCCCCCCCCCCCCCCCCCCCCCCCCCCCCCCCCCCCCCCCCCCCCCCCCTCCCCCCCCCCCCCCCCCCCCCCCCCCCCCCCCCCCCCCCCCCCCCCCCCCCCCCCCCCCCCCCCCCCCCCCCCCCCCCCCCCCCCCCCCCCCCCCCCCCCCCCCCCCCCCCCCCCCCCCCCCCCCACCCCCCCCCCCCCCCATAAAATGCAAATCTTTCAGATCTTTGCAGGATCCGGTACGGCAGACACCGCAGGTACAAGTTCCAGAGGTGGGAAAACGACAAGTACAAGGGCAAGCCAATGAGAGACAGAAGCAAGTGAAAAGAAAATTGCCCCGCGGAAAAATTGAAGGTACAAAGAAAAAGAAGCCGTTCCACCGTCCAAAAACCGTCCCACAGCGTTTGTTTTCATTAGTATTTAATTTCATTTTAATTTGATTTCAGTACCATAATCTTTATAAAGGTTTTATTCTTCTTTAAGCTAGCAGGACCAGCTCGTACGTTATTGTAATTTTTGACTAATAGCAGACCGCTATTTATTTTATTTTGATTTTAATTTTGTTTTGCTCGGAGTTGCATTTACTTTTTCTTACACCTTAATGTGTTCTGCGGACGCGTCGGGAAATTGGAACAGAGAATTGAAGCTCCAAAAAGATTTTTTCGGTACAATTCATATTATTTAAAAAATTTTTTTTCGTCAGACAAGAGCTTCAATTGTCTGTTTCGGCGAAACGCGTAATGATGTTTGCCCTGGTTCGACATTCAACTATTTTTCCCTTGAAAAGCCTGGTTGGATGTCCAATTGGGCTAATTTACCTTTTTCCGTTTTGTAATTTTTATAATTTTTGTAATTTTGCAATTTATGTTTTAATTATTTTTTTATTTTGTTTTAACTTGTTCCGTCGATCTGTTTTTTTATATGTATTAACTTTTCACATATCACAACGATCAGATTAGTTTATTTGTGCATTCACATGTTTTCCAACATTGATTTTAACAATTTTATTTCGCGTGTAAGCTGTTTTTTCACTTTTCCATGTTAATATTTTTTTAAAAATTACTTCTATGTTATTATTTTAAAAATACTGCGTTGAACTATTTCATAGAGCTACAGCTCCTGGTAACTTTTTAGCAAGCTCGCTACTACATAGTCATTCATTGTTCGGTAATTTTGACCCCTTAAATAAACAGCAGCAATTGATCAGTACATTAGTGTCTGCAATCAAAAGCCAGTCGAAAGCATTTGAATTTCTTTTGCTTTTTGTTAAAATTTAGTCCCCGATGTCTTGAACTCATCCAACAGTTCTGCTCGCTGAAAAATTGACATTTCGAAAGAAATCCATTTTCTCTGGGTACATTTTTTAGGCTGCTTCATCCAAACATAATTAAATTTTAAATTAATTAACTCGTGATGAGGAGCGTAGTTTGACGTCTGTCGTCTAAGATTTTGGAATTGATAAAAGTATTGTTTCCCGAGCTTGGAACGCCTTCCAGACAACAGGTACGGTTGTAAGAACAACAGGTACGACAAAAGAAAACAATATCCGATATATCTCCCTGCAGGCGAAAAGAGATTGAAACCAGACAAGGTAACTTTGCTAAGCAGTTGCATACGACAACCGGATGACAGGTGTCCCGGTTTAAACTCTGGTTAGACGCCTTTTTGATGATGGCCTATTCGCCTGCCGCCCTGAATGCTGTACATCAATGACAACAGTCCATCGGTGACACCGTTTACAGTGGTGTAGAAAATACAAAGATTGGGCATCTCATCAATTAAGTCACGTCCTGCTAGATGGCATTACTCCTTTCCTGTCTTCACCTCTTCCCGTTTCATCTCTCTTCTCATGATGCTTTAATCAAGCATCTACAACTAAAAGTGTACTTAAGGTTCGATTTCCAAGCATTTAGTAACAGATTACATTCTTTGAGCACAAACTTGTACTATACTTAAAATTTAGTCTTGCGCACTTGTTCCTACTGCATCTGCTGTCATGTGTATATCTTTCACGATACATCGTGATATATTAAAATCGAATATCAATTAAAATTGTTTTACTATCAGTATAATAGTGTATTCATTAGTATAATAGTGTATTCATTAGTGTATTACTTTTAAGTAAAATGGACAAAATCGTAAAAGATGTGATACTTTAAATTTTGTCACATTCTATCTTCTTATTTTTTCTTGCTCTTAGAAATTATGTATTGGATGTTCTTAAAAATTATGTATCATTGTAGTCATCTCTAAAATGACTACAATGACTAGTTCCAAGAAATTTCGTCTTCCCATACAGGGGATCGCCTTACAGAAAATGGTTTTCATTGATGTGTTTATTTATTCGTTTTCAAGAAGTGCTGATTAATTTCAGATATTTTCCGGAAGTGGAGGCTGTGAAAAATTTATAAGCAGTTTTGGTTGACCGACGATATCTTACTGACAACTGTAGATGAGCCAAAACTTTTTCAGCTTCAAATGATTTCTAACTAATTTTGCCGCCACTATGCACAATTTTTTAACTAATTTTGCCGGCATTATGCACAAAACTCGTCAATGACAGTTATAAATCTAACCTTTGCCATACGGCTCTAACATTTTAAACAATGCTTGCTCTCTTCAATATTTACATCGCCTTCTTCAGTGCAGTTTCAGTCTGCTTTTTTAATGTTTAATATTTTGTTATTTGTGAATAATATTATGTTACTTATAATGTAAAATTATAACGTTGTTTATGTTGTTTTATAATAATGTTCGCTATTTAGATGACATTTTAATTTTAGTACAGTTTTAAAAAATACCATATTTATGAAGATTAATTAAAATTTTTAAATTAAAATATTTTGAATGAAAATAAATGTTCTCAAATTTAAACATTCTTTAAATTTAGCTTCATTTAATAATCATTCTATAAACCAGGTCTATTTAGAAAAAATGCATTTATCAAAACAATTACAATACTTTATCGTACGTATTGATGTAATATCAATGCTATATAATAACAAAAAAAGTCCCGCAGCACTTACACTATCAAGAATTCTGGAAAAAGCTGTGGCTTTTCATGGTTTTTTTAGGTGTCCAGGGAAATACCAGCAAATTTTCTTCATGAAGTTTACCGGAAGACTTCTTTTTCCTTAGAGAGATAGATTTGCAGCCAGCGGTAGCGCCAAACAGGCGATGGTGTTGATAAACCGTGGCTGTAATCTTAATGCTACGGATATCAATGGTAGAACTGCTCTGCATATTGCAGTTATAGCACATCAAGAACTTTATTTCGAAAGCTTCTCCTTTCTGGAAGTGATGTCGACAAACGGGACAATTACTGTCTTTCTCCTTTATATTATGCATGCAAAAGAGGAAATCTGAGAATAGTTGATGTACTCATCTCTTTTGGTGCAAACTTACTTGTACAGAATTGGCAAAATTTTTTAAATAGCTTCGATATTGAATTGAGACGTGATCATCCATTTAATTATGTTATTCGTAAATCGAAGTATTGTTTCACCTTAAAACCCTGTGCATGCCATATTGATAGTAATGCAGAAAATCTGTCTGATTGTGTTTAAATACAAGAACGAAAATCTGCAGTGGCCAGTCCGTTGGCCAGAAAATCTAGTGCATGCAATATTGACAGTAATGTAGAAAATCTGTCTGACTGTGCTGAAATACAAGAACGAAAATTTGAAGTGGTCAGTCCCTTAGCCAGAAAACCCAGTGCATGCCATGATATAAAAAGTATCGTTCACGGGGCGATACGAGCTTTAAAAAAACACGAGGCTGAAGCTATTAAAGACTATTTAAAACAAGGATGCCACGGAATACATCTTTCCTTCGGTGACGGATGGTCGTGTTAAATTCTTTGCTTGGAATCTATTCATACGAGAGAATGCTCACAGACGAGACTTTTCGTTACCCCATTTTAATTTTAAAGATGCCTTAGGAAATGTTCTCCTTCATCTGGCGGCCAAGATTTCAGATTACTCTTAAACAAGGCAGCCGACATTACAAGCGTAAACAGACACGGAAGAACAGTACTGCATATTGCTTGCGAAGAAATTGTCAAGTTGTTGGCTGTAAAATCGCTGGCATATGTTCTTGAGAAAAGGTACACAAAGGGTACACACCTTAAGACAACGCCTGTCAATATAGTTGTCTGGAAATTGTCAGCTCCTGTTTTCTCGAGACCGTGGGCAAAAAATATTTAAGATTTCAGAACCGCTTGAAAATTTTATTTTTTTAAATAAATGATATTAAATTTATCAATGCAAATAAAATTATGAGTTTTTGAGAAGCTTCTATTTTATGGTTTAATAACATATGAAAGAAAAAGGATGCCTATTTCAAATTTGTAATTATATTATGCCAAAATATTTTAGTTTACTGAAGTTTACTTTAGTAAAGCTCCTCTATATAGGAGCCTTAGCGGATAGGAACCCTGTGCCTGCCTTTCTCAAAATGCGTACAATTTGATCAAAATTCGTATGAAACAAGATTTAATCTAAAGTTCAATTAAACTATTTTGGAATCATTTGCTTTTCCCCTTGTATTTTAGTAGATATTCATAATTTAATTTAAAACTGAATTGAATTAAACCGCTTTAATGAAATAAAAATACGACAGTACCGTATAAGAAGCCATTCCATAAACATTATCCTAGTATTCCTAATTCTTTACAGTTGATATTCTCTCTGCTCTATATGAATTCGAGACCTTCAGTTCGCAGAAAATTCCCATCAGTCATTCTAAATAGGCTTTCACTTATTTTGAAAAAAATATTTCTTAATTTTTAAATAAATCTTAAAGAACTGATTCTACTTACTCATGAACGGAGGATAAAGGGTGATGAAATATTTCCTTACATCAATAGGGAAGAATATGATAATGGCTATTTTTTTTAACTTCATCTTTACGCTTTTATGTTATTTTTCCTAACATTTTTTTTTTTTTTTTTTTTTTTCGACTCAAATATTTTTCAGACTTACATTTCCTGTCAAATTAATTTTGTGTGAAAATAAGGAAAGGATTTGCAGCAGTAATAATCAACACATCTCATTGCGGCTAACTTTTGACAACATTAAGTAGACGTCGCCGTAAGAAGTTTGAACATGTATTAAACTGAATAGTGTGAGCACTTTAATATTCACTTACTGTTCGTTCAACTACTGGCTTTATTTTTTCCCTGTATTCGGTGCATTTTTGTTTGTTTTGTTCTGTAATAATTTCTCTAATTATTTGAATAAAATGTGCAAACATATGTTTATAACCACGTAGAAGAGTTTCTGTTTAAAGACAACATTATTTTTTTTTCTCTCTAATGTGGTAATTATGTACATTGTAATGATTCAGGTATATTATTATTTTTTTTTCCCTTCCAGTTTCCCTCGAAATTCTTAAAAGATGGAACGGCGTAAAGGTATGAGAGAAGCAAACAAGGATCTGCCTATTTCTCATGGAGATTTCTGTGATCAGAACAGTTTACCAAATTCTGAAATGCATGAAAGAAACCGAAACGATCTAAAACATGATAGAATTAATATTATTGTTTTGCTTTTACTATATGTTCTTCAAGGTATACCATTGGGTCTTGGTGGCAGTCTGCCAATGATACTACAGAATAGAAAAGTTAGCTATAAAGATCAAGCTGTTTTCAGTCTTGTCAACTGGCCCTTTAGTCTGAAATTATTATGGGCCCCTATAGTTGATTCTCTATATTGGAGGCGTTTGGGACGCCGGAAAACATGGCTCATACCTACTCAGTATCTTATTGGATTTTTCATGATAATTTTATCATCTTCTGCATCATCACTACTTGGAAGTGAAACAGATCCTCCTAATGTAATGCTACTAACTGTAATTTTTTTCTGCATGAATTTCCTTGCAGCAACTCAAGATATTGCTGTAGATGGTTGGGCATTGACAATGCTATCCAGGTTATTATTATTATTATTATTATTATTCTAAAATATAATCTTTATTGTTAGTTTCTAATTATTTGTTTAAATGTAGCTGTTTGTATGAATTTATTTTCTTATAATTATGTTGACATTTTTAATCCAGTAGCAGCCTCTAATCATTTTTAACCAACATATATTTTTCAGATTTTTAAATGGTACCTTCTTGTTAAACCACTACTGTGCCCAGTTATAAAAGTCAGTAAATTTTATTTCCAGTATGTAATCAGTGGCAGCTTTAACAAGGAAGTAATACTGCGTAATGTAATATAACTACTGTGGCTGATCTTTGGAATATGGTAACTGGTAGTTTGGTGACATTTTGGAGGCGATAAAGGTTACTACCTAGGACTTTGGTAATAATGTGAGAAGCACTCAGTTCCGATTACGCATTATTTTGTGTGAGGGAAATGAGAGATCATGAGATATGTCATGTGACATTAATGGACGAATTACAGTTGTTTAATCGGAAAAGGGGGGAAATCTGGAAATTTCGTATTTAGCTATATTCTGTGTTGTGTGAAACGTGACATTAATGGACGAATTACAGTTCTTTAATCGGAAAAGGGGGTTAATTTGGAAAAGCTTCATTGTGTGTTGTGTGAAATAGTGTTGATTAATTTTCGGATTGCATGGCGCTATGTAAAGTGAATTCTAAATTTTTAATGCGTTTATCTGATAATAATAATAAGTTGAGATTGTGTGAAAGGAAGGATATTACAAGTTTAAATGGCGGTGCAAGAAATATGGTGAAAATGGACATTTTGTGAAAAGGAGTGTAAGGAAGGGTACGTGGTTTGCTGAAAGTAGTTTGAGTATAGGTGAAATTTTATTAATTTCTTATTACTTGGTGAATAGACTTCCAGTTGACTACTGGATTTAGGATTTAGAAATTAGCAGTAGTACTGCAGCGACGTAATGAAGATTCTGAAGAAGATTAGGTAAGTTAGTATTTTTAATCATTTGAGGATATTATTTTTATGCATTGTTCTAAATGTAAGGAGTAAATAAATTAAAATGGTATTATTTGAAAATTGTTATTAGCAATGATTTAGTTTAAAGTAATTAGGATTGTAATCTAATTTTTATTAATTTAATGTATGTGCTTATTTATATTTTAAGTAGTGTTTTTTAATTTAATTATATTTTAATTTAATGATCGTGATTTTGTGAGTTATATGTTTGTAGTATTTTGGAATATGTTTGAGTAGTATACGTTGAGTATTTTCATGCATTTTCGTGAAATTTTTCTAATTTATGAAAAAAAAGCAGTGTACATGGATATAGTGAAGAGTGTGCGCAATGCCATTTTTGTGCAATTCTGGGATGTTTTTTTAAGTAAAAATAAGTCGACGTGTACATGGTTTAGTGATATTTTAATTAAATGACAGTTATTTTGTGAATTTTATGTTTGTGGGAATTTGGTATACGTTTTAGCTGAAGTAAACGTGCATGGAAATAATTTAAATATTTGACACTAAGTATTTGTAATGTTTGCGGTATGAATTCGTTGGTGATGTTTATAATATAATAGATAATTTAGAGGTAAAAGTTTTTAGATATTTTATTTATTTTATACGTGGAAATGTTCATATTTGGAAAGGGTCTATACTTTTTCGCGATAAGGTAATTTCATATATGTTCTTTTTACCGGTTTAAAGATTCAGAAAATTGTCATGCATTTTCGTGAAATTTTTCTAATTTATGAGAAAAAAAAAAAGCAGTGTACATGGATATAGTGAAGAGTGTGCGCAATGCCATTTTTGTGCAATTCTGGGATGTTTTTTTAAGTAAAAATAAGTCGACGTGTACAGGGTTTATGTCTATGTGTTATTGTGAAAAACGCGCAAGGAGTTTGCGATTGTGCACTTTTTCCCAATTTTGCAGTGAATATTTGTCATGATTAAGCAGTTTCGTTAGATAAAATTTCTAGTACAGTCAAAAGTCCATAATTCGGAATGATCTATAATCCGGACATCAAAACTAAAAACTTTCTGCGCATGCGCCACGTTGACACATGCGCAGAGGCGTTCACGCGTGCGCGTAAGACTTTTTACGACTGCGCATATGAGTGTGCGCATGTGCAGAATACGTTTTCACGTGCCCATTTTATGTATAATGGACGTATAAGCTAAAATTATCTAATTATCTATTTCAGTTAATGTTGATGATTGCGTTGTTCCTTAATTTTTGAATTGCATCCGGCTTATTATTTTTTGCAGACTGTAAGAGCAATTTTATAAAAGTAAGCTTAAACTTAAACGATTATATCAAATAGAATTTCCGATATATATTTGTTAATATGTAAAGGATCTAAAGCGAAAGTATGTTTTGAAATCCGAAATCTGTTTATCAATTTCACGCTGCTCGGCGGGGCGGGCGCCTAATGAATTGGAAGTTGATTTGTCAGCACTATCCTTATCTTCAGTGCAGATGTTTTTATTTTATTTGGCTTATAATTCCTTACCAAATGTAGTATTTCATCTCGATATGCTCCGTCTTTGATATGATTTAAAACAAGTTCCTCGTCATTATAATTCGCTTCCGATAGCGAAGAAAGTGACAGAGGTTATTGAAAATGAAAAAAAAATTTCAATTGACAAATTAGTCGGTATTCTCGACACAGCAATTATAGGACTTGAACAGCGGAACTTTGTAACTGAACAAGAAATTATGGCTGTTTATAGAATTAAAGAGAAAGTATTATCACATGAAACGAAGCAAAACTTAAACAACTTACATTGAAAGAAATGTTTAATAAAGTAAACAAATAAATATTAAGCTTTTTCTTTTTGCAAAATTTTGATACCCTTTAGATCATAATTGTTCTTTATTTCATAAATTATGGTTTCATATTTTTTATTTTAGAATTTCTGCATGCCATCTTACGAGATTTAAACTGATGATCTATAATCCGGAAAAATCGATAATCCGGAATCGCCGAAGTCCCGACGAGTCCGGATTAACGACTTTTGACTGTATAAGTGTAATTTGGCTAGTAGATTGTTGGAAAAAGTGTTCAGTAAATAAAAAGAAAAGAAACATGTCTTTACTTCGTGAAGACAAAATGGCGGCGGAAAAAAAAAATAGAGCGTTGCTGTAGCAGAGTTGGTCGCCAAATTTTCGCCAAGAAATCGCCTAGTTACCATAATCCAAAGATCAACCTAAACTGTTTATGTCAACGTTCCTGAACATCAGCATTGTAAAATTCATCTGAATATTATTAAATTTCTGTATAAGCCTTACCAGAACTGAATTAGGTAAAAGTGGATTTCTTGTAATTAGAATTAAAATCTGAACTATCTAGAATTTTTTATTCTTGAGAAGGGAGGGGTTAGAGCTGTGGCGTAGTTAAGATTCCAGCGTCCAGGGACAACTGAAGAATTTGCACTCCTTTCTGTGTGCCAAGAACGAAAAACATTTCATTAAAAAATTTTGTAGCATCATTTGGGCGCCGCCTGGATGCTGCACCTGGAGACAGATGTCCCCCTTTGCCCCACCCTAGCTACGCCACTGGGTAATAGCCTTGAAAAGTATGATAACTTAATGTACTTGTAGAAGGTATGTCAGGTTGAGATTATGTATGATTATATGCTTTTCATTTTGTTATAATTTCTTTCATAGGTATAGGTTAAAACAAAATATTATTACAGTGTTGTCAAATGATAAAGCAGTAATCTGATAGAATGAAAATTTTCTCTTAAGAATAAAACTTCATTTAATACATATGTGTAATTTAGATAAGAAAGAAATATGTGTTCATAAATATATAGTAAAAGATACATTTTTACAAAATTCTTTATTTTAAAAATTATAAACACATTTAATAATATTATACTGCACAATATATTATATAATATTAGCAGGGAAGCATATTAACAACAATTTTTTTATAAAAGTATAGTTTAGGGTACCCCTTGGTGAAACTTGGCGATTTTTGGCGGTACATGGATACCGATTTTGTGCAATTCTTTGACTCGTTATTTTGGCTTGCGAAGCGGCGATTTTTGGCTCATCGATACACAAAGCCAAAATAACAAGACAAACAATTGCACAAACTCGGTATCCGTATACACATCGACTTATTTTCACTTAAACAAAATCCCCGAATTGCACAAAAAGTGGCATTGCACACTCTTTTAACTTTATCCATGTACACGTCGACCTATTTTCACTTTTAAAAAAAATCCAAAATTGCACAAACTTCCATTGCACACTCCCTTTACTGTGTCTATGTACACATCGATATATTTTCACTTAAAAGGAGCACCAAATTCTACAATATAGGCAAACAAAATATACATAATCTCAATAAAATACATTTTAAACCAAACAATAAAAAAGGAAAAACATATGATACATTTAAGCACTACCAAAAGCAAATATTCACTTATCATGATTTTTGAGTTCGCTTCGTACACCCAGAGCCACATAAAAAAATCAAAATATCAATCATACTCAAATGACTTTTTTCAAACCAGGTACTCTTTCTGATCAAACGCTTCACATAGTGACCATCTGAACCTTTTTTCCTACAACTCATTCAAATCCATCTAAACGGTTTTTACATTCGACTAAACACATATCCGTCCTAGATACAGGACACTTATAATGGCTACGAAGTAAACCTTCATTTACACACCAGTCAATTTAAGCTCTTTTCCCCTTTCGCTCTAAATCGTACAGAAACTTCAAATTAATCTTACTACATTCGGCCATTCTACCGTCTAAAGAATCAAACCACAAAAACGCTTACAAAACATCCCACGATTCAAAATTTCCCAGAGTCATGCACCCGATTACGTCACAATAGGGTTTTCATACCATTCAACTACTTGGGCTACCATAAATGAAACAACAACTTGGCGATAAACCAAACAACAACTTCGCCATAATACAAGGGGTACCTTAAAGACTACTCTACCCAAATTTTTTAGATGTTTTTACATACAGGAATTTATTGATGTTTCAATTCTGTGATGACATTATATCTATATTCCATTTATGGAATCTACAAAAATATTTTTTATTTTTTTATTTTATCATATCAGGTAGTAATGAAATTTTGGCTAAAGTGCAGAATCGCCCACTCATTTAATTGGCGTTTGTTTGGCGCTTTTTACAAGAGTAAGAAGAATTGGATTTTTGTCAATTTCCTTTGACTTTTTAAGTGAAAATAGGTCAAATGTGTGCATGGATAAAGTCAAGAGAGTGATGCCGTTTTTGTGCAATTCTGGGATTTTTTTTAAGTGAAAATAGGTCGATGTGTACATGGATACTGAGTATGTGCAATTCTTAAAAATGCGCCAAGCTGTAGGCGATTCTGCACTTTCCCCGAAATTTTCAAAGTCTAAGCATGATACATTGTTTGTAAGAAAAATGTCTGTAGTTAATTGTGTACTTCCTTATTATAGTATCCCTGACCTTACATGGTGACTTTAGAATTCTGCCAAGATTGCACTTATAATTTCATCAAATTTGTAAAGTGCAAATGTGAAACTACATGACACGATATACAATACATGTGATATATAATAGTGTTATATAATAACAACAACACACATGGCAAGATACACGCATGTCCATAAATTAAGGGTAATTCGGAGTCACGCGGAAATCGAACTCTAAAATAAATATATCACCTGTACACATCACTACACACATCTTCAAGAATCATATGCAAATTTCAGGAAGTAACCAGATGACACCGATGGTACGTCACAATGACAAGAGTGTGTAAGGGACTGATATATAAGGAATACAGGCAAAAAAGTAAAATTGTTTGCAGGCGCTTTATAAGCATTTCAGTGCAATAACCGAATAGTTATGACACAAAGGACGCATTTGGATGATTTTTTACGTGGTAGAATTGTTGGCCATCTGGAATGTGGGTGTACCCAACTGGAAGTATCAGACGAACTTGGAATTGCCCAGAGTGTCATCTCCAGGCTTTGACAACGATTCCAAGATAATGGTCGTCAGCTCTCTTCAGCCACTGGTATGACAATTTCAAGGCAGACCGTGTACAGACGCTTAGGGCAGATTGGTCTATATGCTTGTAGACCTGTCAGATGCGTTTCACTTACTGCAACTCACTGTCACCTGCAGTTAGCCTAGAGTAGAGGGCATGCATTGTGGACACCGCAACAGTGGGCTTGTGTGATGTTTTGCGAAGAGTCCAGGTTTAGCTTGCAGTCTGATTCTTGCCGGACTTTCATATGGAGAGCTCCAGGACCCGTTACTACCAAGAAAACATCATTGAACAACACCGTTACGGTGGTGCAGGAGTGCTCGTTTGGGGTGGAATTATTCTGGGCTCCAGAACTAACCTGCATGTTCAAACTGAAACCATGACAAGCCAAATCTATCGGGACGTCATTCTGGAACAATATGTACGTTTTTTTCAGGGCGCCATGGGTGCACAATTTGTGTTTATGGATGACAACGCCCGTCCTCACCGTGCAAACATCGTAAGCGAATGCCTTCAATCGGAGGATATCACCCTTATAGACTGGCCAGTATTCTCACCGGACTTGAATCCACTAGAGCACGTGTGGGACATGCTTGGCCAACGAGTTGCAGCTCGTCAACCTCCTCCTACGTGTCTACCGGAACTTCGGAGGAGAGCATTACTTTTTGAGTGGTGTAATATCCCCCAAGCTCAGATCAATAATTTGATACTCAGCATGCCTAGGTGTTGTATGGACTGTATTGCATCGTCTGGGAGACATACAATGTATTAACAATTATACCAACCATGTAATATTGGTTTTTTGTAAATAGGATTTTTTTTTTTTTTTTTTTTAATTTGCTCCAGGGAGAAAAAATCGCTAATTTTTTTAATAATATCAAACATATAGCATCTTTTTTTGCTCTTTACCTTTTGTTTAATAAATAAGCTTTACAACTCTTCCTTTGCCTGATTTTGCATTATCCTTAATTTATGGACATGAGTGTATTTCGGTTTATTAGCGATTCAATCTTTGGGTTTGCTATAATAAGGATGTACTGTTAATTGATATTCAATTAATGCATTTATATTTTTAATTGTCATTTTAAAGCTGCTATATATGTAATAATTTAAATAGGTACTATTCTGTTTTGAGGGCCGTAAAAAAAGTGCAGCGAAAATGTATGTGCAAAAGCGCCAAAAGCGCCAAATCTAGCAAACGCGCCCATTCAACAGCACGCCTAATCTAGCGTATGTGCTGATTTCAGATTGCGTAATAATCCTTTTTCTGATTTTAAATCCTCATTTGATACCCAATGGATTTAACAATTTGGGAATTGCCCTCAGTGAAAAGTCAGCAATAGAATTTTGTGTAAAGTGCAGGATCACCCACTGATTAACGCGTTTTTAAGAATTGGACGTACTCCGTATCCATGTGCACATCAACCTATTTTCACTTTAAAAAAATCCTAGAATTGCACAAAAATGGCACTGCGCACACCCTTGACTTTATCTATGTACACATCGACCTATTTTCACTTAAAAAGTAAAAGAAAATTGACAAAAATCCAATTGTTTTTACCGTTGTAAAAACGGCAAACAAATAAGTGAGCGATTCTGCACTTTACCGAGAATATTTTCAAAGAAAAGGCATCATTCATTAGAGAAAATTACATTTGAATAACCAACGAGATGAAATTATGCTTTAGCGATAAGTCGGTAGCGAAATAGCGATGCAGGCATCCATTCAGTTATGTTTAGCAATTTTTATATAAATTATAAAAATGATCTGAAATAGTCATTTACTTTTATGCTTCCGTTCAGTCATGGTTAACCTTTCATCTAAATTAAAACATCAATCTTAAATAGTTATTTACTGTTATACTTCCTTTCTTGCCGCGATTATTAGGGTTGCCGCAATTATTTTTGGCAGCATTGGTATCAACAATAGTTTGACGATTTTTTACGGCCCTCAAAACCGAATAGTGCCTTTAAATATATTATTGCATATATAATAGCTTAAAATATTTATATAAATATAATAAAATACTTTAAATTAAATTAAATGTAATAAAATACTTAAGTATTATAAAATAATTCAAATTACATGCTTTATTATCGTAATTCTGGAAAGATTTGTTAGTTTTCAATTAACTATATCGAGAACAGACAGTAATATTGCTTTAAATCAGCAGATCAATCTTCACTACTGTGGTAAGAGTACAAAACCACTGGTTTATAGGATTGGATCAGAACAATTTTTCTCTTAAATGATAAAAATTAAATGGAAATAATAAAAATTAAATCCACTTTTAACATGGAGGGGGGGAGAAACATTGCTTTCTACCATAAAATTGGAATGAAACTTTGCTAAAAGTATATTAGTAGGTACCCCTTGGCAAAAATTGGCGAGTTTTTGGCAGTATTCATGTACATGTTGACCTGTTTTCACTTAAAAAAAAAAAAAAAAAAAAAAAAAAAAAAAAAAAAAAAAAACACAGAATTGCACAAACTAGGCATTGCACACTCTCTTGACTTTATCCATGTACACGTTGACTTATTTTTACTTAAAAAAACATCGGAGAATTGCGCAAACTTGGCATTAATTGGCGATAAATGAAACAACAACTTCGTGATAATACAAGGGGTACCCTTCTCTCTACTCTAACTGAAACTTTTCGAGCACACTTTCAATAAGGGCTATAGAACTCCTTCTACTACTCAGCAGTAGTTACACATGACTAGGTTTTGTCAAATTGCTGTTTGCACACTTAGTAAAGTGAACTGGTTATTTGAATCCATTCAAAAGCAGATCACTCGATCTCTGTATTATAGTGCTTCTGGGGATTTTGGCAGCTTCTATCTTTCTGTGCCTTTTATTAAATTCAGTAATGTGTAATTTTTTTATTTAAATGTATCAGATGATAATAATGCTTATAATTTAATGCATTTTTCTATATATTGCTCAAATTAATTCATGTCATGTTAAAGAACTTTTAGTACTTCCTTATTAGAATGACTACCACATAGATTTTTGGCAATATTTAAAAGTTGTGTGTAACAGATTTGGTGGTTACATTTGCCAGTATTAGTGGTCAGTTTCAGTGGCTGCTTTAATAAAAAAGTACCAAACTTTCATCCTTTTATTTTTATGGTTAATAGTTTGCTTCCAAATTAATCCTGTTAATGTAAGCTTTAATAAAACTAAAAACACAAATTTTAAATATTAAGTGTCAACAAATGCTTATCAGACATAGAACATAGAAATTAAAAGAACTAGCATTTAAAGAAGTCACATTAATAATTAAATTTACATTTTAAGACATTTCATTGAAATGTAAAATGAATACCAACTATTATTTTTCATGTTTTACACACTCAAATGCTTTTTCTTATGATATCAAAAATTGAAATTTTAAAAATGTTGCAAAAACATTAACCAAGCAGCAATATACTCCAAATTGAGTACTATACAGTTGACAAAATCTTTGACATTGATTTTAAACAAAAAAAGACTCTAAATTTCAATAATGGGTTTTTGAAATGATTTGTGCTCTTTTTATTGAAGTTGATATCAAAGTACATTTGAAAATTATGAGTATTAATTCAATGAATTATGAAACCAAAGTGCTGTTTGTTCTTTGAATTTTTTACTTCAAAACTGCTGAAACTTGAAACAGCTGCTAAAAAGGATTGTATTTTATTTAGGAAATTAAATAAATAAATTTTTTGCTATTTGAGAAAATGCATTGAAGTAAAATGTCTTCTTAGCTGTTTTCTAATTTGCATAATGTTTGTTTTCAGACCAGACATACTGCAATTTTGTGATTGTTTTATTGTCCAATTTTATTCTCACTTACCAATTATGTTTTTAAAAAATTGACGCATTCTGCTTTAGAAAGTAATAAAAATGATTTTCTTTAAATATTTTCAGGCAAAATGTAGGTTATGCATCCACTTGTAATTCTGTTGGTCAAACTGCAGGATATTTTTTAGGAAATGTTGTATTTTTAGCTTTGGAATCTCCAGACTTTTGTAACAAATATTTGAGATCTGTACCTCAACCAGAAGGCCTTGTTACGCTTTCTGGTAAGTAGCTGATATTTGCTGTAATTATTTTATTAACAATTTCCTCACAGTATTAATTATGACTGGTATTATGGCAAAAAATTATATTCAGTCATGCCTGTATGTAACAAACTTGTAAAATCCCACATAAAGTTTCAAATAATGGACCCTCCTGTGTAGTCACAACTCTCCCATGTAGTGAGAACACCAAGTATTTAGGATTAACCTTTGATCACAAACTCACCTGGAAGTTGTTATTGATGATATTCAGCAAAAGACGGAGAGGCATACGTCATTGCTTAAACGTTTTGCAGAAGTTAGATGGAGTTGTGTAACCTCAAATCTTTTTACTACCTGTAAGACCTTCATAAAACCTGTAATGATTTTATTCAATGCTCTTCTCATTATGGTCTCTCAAAAAGGAGTGAATAGACTGGAACATTTGCAGAATAATACCCTCTGCCTAATATGTGGTGCTGTCAAGACTTTACCTATTGATGCCTTATTATTATATAATAAGGTCAAGACTATACCTATCGATGCCTTATTATTATATAATAAGGTCAAGACTATACCTAGTGATGCCTTATTATATACTAATGAATTATGTATGCAGTATGAAATAAAGAAAGCTGCTTTAAAGCTGTATCAAAGATTAATACATTTACTGCATACTGGACCTTGGATTAATTCTTTGCTTTACCTTCCTAAACTGAAAACTCAGGAGGCTTCCTACAAGCTGTTTTGAGGGAGTCCGAGATCCGGACTTGTCAGGACTTTGGCAATTCCGGATTTGGGATTTTTCTGGATATTAGATCATCAGTTTAAATCTAGTAAGATGGCATGTAGAAATTATAAAATTAAAAATATGAAATCCTGATTCATGAAATAAAAAATCATTTATGATCTAAAGAGTGTCAAAATTTACAAAACAAAGAAAAAAAAAGGCGTAATAATTATTTGTTTACTTTATTAAACATTTCTTTCAATTTGAGCTGTTTAAGTTGCCTCATTTTTTTCTGCTAATACTTTCTCTTTTATTCTACAGACAGACGCAATTTCTTGTTCAGTTACAAAGTTCCATTTTGTTCAAACCCTGTAATTGCTGTGTCGAGAATTCTGACTAACCTGTCAATCGAAATTTTTTCGTTTTCAATATCCTCTTTGTCACTTTTTTCACTATCGGTAGTGGTATTTTCTGGATCTAGAACCATCTACTTTGTAAAATAGTGTAAAAAATGTACATATAATACAATTCTTGGACAATTTTTTTTTTTTTTTTAAATTCACGAATTTCGTCATTTATTGGAAAAGCGGACAGAAAAAGGTAAGTCTTTTCCCCTACTACTTCAGTAAGTTTCAAAGTCCTATATCCATGTTGGGGTCACAGTGCGACCACCACCCACAAATCAATGAGGAAGAGTATACTTTTTTATTCATATATTATTTGCCTCTAGAATCATAATTCAATTTCTAGAATTGTTTTTAGTGAAAACATTATAAAAATAATATTGCGTGCATCAAAGGGTTAAAACCTACTTATCAAGATAAGTATTTTCTAGTATAGTGGGAAAATTTCGCAGAAATATTGGAAAACTTAAATAGATAGCCTTTGTTACAGGGAGATCATTTTTATAAAGAAATTTGTGTTTTGATCAGCTTCCCACTAAAAGATTTGACATAAAGAGAATTTTATAAAACAGACATTTGGTATGAAAGATTGATTATATTTGTTATTCTATTTATAAATAGGTAATTTAATAGCTTTAAAATTTAATGAGAGTTTTACTTAGCTGATTGAAAAAAATCGCTGTGTATGAGTGATTGAGAAACCTATATATTTTCTTTTATGTATATTATGCTTAACCTGCTAGGCTTAGTTATATTGTTTTTCTTCATACAATGATTGTGTCTTTGTACTGAAATGAATTCATAATATGGAAATTTATTTTTAAAATTACACATGTTCAATTTAACAACTAAATAATGGCTGTGTATCTTGGTTCTCATTATATTTTTTAATTTTTTAAGTCAAAATAAATTATTTAAAATTTTTTAAGAGCCTTAAAAAATTATAATATTTGAAAAGCTATGAAACTTCATTTAGTAATCAGTCAGCAACTTCTTTTAAAAAATTTGATGTGCCATAAATGTTACAAACTCTAATACAATAATCTATAATGTCTCACAAATTTTAATGTATATGAATTAATATTTTGTTAGATAATAATTATCCCTTAATACTTCTTTTCCTATCTGATAGTAATTAATATTTTGTTCTTGTGATGTGCTAGGAATCATATTTTGATTTTATAGCTGTTAGTTCAATATCTAACCATAAAAATACGTACTTATTATCAAAATTATTTCTATTGACATGTATTTCAGACAGAAATAACAAATTAAAATAAAATATAAGAAACTGCAAGATAACAATACATATTCTTAGTTACAAATAACAATTATATAACAACAATAAATATATTTCCGTATAAAAAAACTGTAGGATTCTGAATTATAATACCATAATTAACCGTATGACAGCGCTGTGTTCATTTGTCTCGAAAATCCCGACGCAGTTAGTTATTTCAGAATGAACTCGTGTTACAAAGTACCTGTGAGGTCAGACTACATTCACACCCATGGAGCAACAAAGACACACTGAAACAGCGCTGCGTCATGGTTTTCGAGACAAATGAACGCAGCGCTTTCGCGCCGTGTAGCAGTCAAAAGGTTAAGTCTGTTCTAGCTTTTTCAGTTCCCTAAGCCAGTGGTTTGAAACTCAAATTGCATGCACACCAAATTCATGAACTAAAAGTATCTGATGGGCTAGCAAAGCAAACACCCTAAAAAACTAAATTTTAAATTTTACTTACCAAATATTTATCAAAACATACATATACAATAACAATAATATCGTAAAGGAAAAAAATTAAATTGGTATTTATTTACTGTATCTGAAGTTTAAAGGCTGGTATCTGCAAGAGACTTCATTTGGTTATACCTTGTAATTTAAACATATTGACAGCTAAATATTAAAATTTTTATTATTATATTATAATATTGCCTTTTACACTGATATTTATTTCAAGTAATTTCAATTTCTTGAGTTAACCACTAAATAAATTACTTTTGACCTAAACCAGAAACATGGAAACACCAGAATATTGAAGCACTACCAGCTGTAGGCTGGCAAACTGAATTTACAACTGTACCAACTTGGAAAGTTCTCTCACCTTATCGTAATCATGTGGCCTGGGATACAACCATACTCTGACAAAATTCCAACCTATTCATTCTGTTTTTTGTTCCTTCAGCAGTAGTTGCACATGACTAGGGTACTTATCTTTGTCTCTAAAACTATAAGCACAGTATTTGCAATAAATGTGTACTTATGTGTTCACAGGCCACATGAAATTGCTGTGGGAGCCACATGAACCCTGCTAGTTTGAGACTACTGCCCTAAGTGATTGGTATATTTGCATATAAATTAATCATATTAATAAGCAAACTATACCTTACTTTATTTGATGCTTGTGAGAAAAATTGAGCTGGTGCCTTACGGAAATTTACAATATAAACGACTGTCAATATCACTTATATTTGGACATGGCCCTGATCATAAGTACAGTACAAAATCTGTAATCCGGACGTCCATTTTCCGGCATGATCTATAATCTGGACCTCAAAGCCACAAACTTTTTTTTCTTTGTATGCTTTACGCATGCGCGTTTAGCACAAAAAAGCGAAGCAACTTAAACAACTTACATTGAAAGAAATGTTTAATAAAGTAAACAAATAAATATTTAGGGTTTTTTTTTTTTTTTTTTTTTTTTTTTTTTTTTTTTTTTGTAAATTTTGATACCCTTTAGATCATAATTGCTTTATTTCATAAATTACAGTTTTATATTTTTAATTGTATAATTTCTGCATGCCGTCTTACCAGATTTAAATTGATGATCTATAATCCAGAAAAACCCTTAATCCGGAATCGCCGAAGTCCCGACGAGTCCGGATCACGGACTTTGTACTATAGTATTCTTACAAATCACATTGAGCATGCAGAAGGTTAGAGCTGCAGGTCTTCTGAATCATTAATAGTCTCCAAACTTAGCACTATAGCAAGAACTGAAGTTCACTAAAGCTTAAAATTGATTATATATTGTTACAGTCAGTGTTTGATGGCTCTGTTCATAACAATCTTAGAGTTTTAACCTTTTAATGTCTTATTCACATCTCAGTGCTTTTATCTCCATATTATTTCTAAAGAGCTATAGTAAATAGAATGTCAGTTGTTACTGGTACCAATATTTTGAAATGAAAGGTTTTGATAATTTGAGAAAATGATATTATAGTTTCAGTTTATGCTTAACTGAAATCAATTGTAAAGAATGCAGAATGCCATACAAATCAAGTTAAAATGCTGTAATTAATTAATCTTGTATTCTAATATTTCATGTAACTAATTGCCCTATTGCAATATCAGTGATGACAGTATACTGTGCATGTCTTAATTTATTGTTAACTTCTTTATTTTAGTTTATATTGAATTTCTCTTCACTCAAGAAACATTTAACAATGTTCTTGAATATGGCATCTTTGAGAAATAAATTCTAGTGTTATTTTTTCCCAACTGTCCAAATTAAAATATTTCTTTAATGTTTTAGGTTTTTTAAAGTTTTGGGGATTTGTTTTCTTTATTATGACATCCCTGGTTTTAATTATCAAGAAAGAGAAAGAAGAAAGAATACCAGAAACATTTGGAATTAAAGGCACATACAGCATGCTGTATCGGATTCTGTGCCTTCGTAATGTTTGGTTGGTAGTGTCATTTCTTTTAACATGTAAGGTAATTCAAATTTTTTTAAATATATAGTATTTGAATTGTTTTTTAATCATTGCCTAAATCATATCTGTAATATTTTAAGATGAAATTTATAAAAGTTCAAAATGTGAACAATATAGCTTTATTGCTATTTAACTATATAATCCTACATGTTTCTAATCACATCTATAGGAGTCAATTGCTGGAGCACATTTCTTCCCTCATTATATTTTCAGAAATATTTATAAAAACTGCAAGTCACAATATTTATAAAAACTGCAGGTACTTTTTAGATTAAGATTTCAGTGTAGGAAAGACGTCAAACCAGGTATTACATTGGCTGGCAAATATTGACTGCTATGAGAATATGTTTTACTTTGAATCCCTGTTAAGCTATGGATGTGGGTTATTACAGTATGTCTGAGAAATGCGATACTTAAATTATGTCAATTTGACAGGTTTGTGAAAGGGGAATGGTATGGTACAGGCCTTTTTCTAGAATGCTCTCAGTAAAATTTTGCTAAAACATACATTTATCCTAACTAAATAATCTAATTTAAACTTAAACAATGTTCCTTAGTATTTCTTAGATGAATGTAAGGAGTAAGGGGAAAATTAAAAGCGATTACACATCTCTTTGCAATAAACTGCTTGCTATTGCTATAGGCAACAAAAATTTTAATGTTTTCTATTATTCAATCTTTGAATCCATATCGGCAGGTACTAGCTGCATAAAATCAAAGTATTTCAGTGAAACTTTTCATAAGCAGATGGTATTTTAATGAAATTAAGTTGGTACAACTCTGATATATGCCTCAATTTCACCAAATGTGGCGATATGTGTTTTGCGCTGGTTTTTGCTGTGATTACGTGTTTTATGGTAATCCTGTTGATGTTGAAAAATCTTTCGCTGGAGCTCGTTGGTTCACGTCATGCTCTGTGTCTGAGAAGATAGGGGGAAAAGATAAAATGGTGGAAGTTTTTGAATTGAAGTTCAGCAAAAGAAAATATCATCGCGGCTATCCTGTTACGGGGCAGTGGGTATTGGAGGTGTGGAAAGAGGGTCCGGGAGATTATTTTTAGTGGCTGTACATGATAGAAGTAGGGATTTGTGATTTTATTTATTTGTGAACCATAGTATAAATTTTCTGGATAGTGTGTCTGGCTGTCATATAAATATGATAGTGATTACTTAGCAGCAAAAGGTGGTATAAAATTGGTATTTCTGCTGTTCGAGAAAGCGTTAATCCATGGTAAGTGCATTTTATTTTATTCATTTCCATATTTTGTATTATGTTATGAATTGTTTTTTTAGTATGAATTTCTGTCATTATTATTTTTTTTTTAATTGTTTGAAATTTATTTTAGTTTATTTTGTTGATTAGTGCATAGCATCCAGATTGTACAATTCGTAGATGTTTTTTAAAGTTGAAACAGAACGCTGTGTACATATTATTCTTTGAAATTTATTGTTGTTATATTAATTTATTAAACTGAGGTGTGCGTAGTTTATAGATTCATTCGTCGCCTAGATTGTGCCATTCGTAGATTTTTTTTTAAGTTAAAACATATCGCTGTGTACAAGGATTTTTGTCAGATATTTTTCGTTAGAAACTTTGCATTTTTGCTATCTAATTTTTTTGTTTTTGTTTCAGATTTTTAGCTTAAATTGTGTATTCAAAACGGGGGTTTTGTATGTGTGAAAACCACGTTTTTGGAGACATTTTAGGCTTAAAGTTCCAAATGTAGACAAAAAATTTAGATAGCAATATGGCAGCATGGAGTTTCTCGCCAAAAATGTTTGACGAGAAATTTGGCGACTTGAGGGCGCATATCAGAGTAGTTCCATTAAGTTAATATCTTTTGGTAATTATCAGGATTAGTTATAATTTGGCAGCTTTGCTAGGACTACTTTAAAGTATTAAATCCTAAAACTTTATAAACTCACTCCATATATAATGCATTTGAATGCTGATAAATTTAGAATTCAAACTGATTTCAGTTTAAATCCTTTCTTTTAACTGATCCAAATGGTTTTACATTTAAATATTTTTTATTACCTGATCATATTTGATTTAATTTGTTACGTAGAATTTTATCAACAAAATCTAATTTATGACACATTATGCTTAAATTTTTTGTGCATGCGTTTAATGTTGGATATATGTCTTATTCATATATGTTGTAATGTATTTATGTTGCTATGCTACCAACATAATACCAAAATGTTAAGAAACCTTGCGTGTAAAATATTCCTGCCTGAAGATGCATGCACTTAAAAATGTTTTCAATTTTTCTGCAAGTTTGACTAATAAAGTTGGTAATTCATTCAAAAATGGTGATTTTTTGGAAGTTTGGATAATGATGTAGAATGTGATCTATGGCTTTTAGTTAGTTATTATTTAGATTGGGCCACCAGAATGCTGTTTCTAAATACAAAATTAAGTAAATACATAAAGGAAAATGATTCCATTAATTAATAACCCATCAAATTTTTAATAATTTAAATTCTTTCTAATTGTAGAAAACAAAAGCAGGAATAATCTTTACAGGGACATTTTTATCAGTCATACATTACAAATGATGACCAAAAAGTTGAGCATGACCAAAAAATAATTAATGGATCTTTACCATGCTTTTACTAGATAACATGAAAGCATTTCTTGTGTAGTAAATAACAGTTCAATAATAAAGCTCATAAAATAAAAAAATCATATTCAAACTTCAGTAGCTTCATATTCAGTGGCTTTCATATTACAAGGAAAATAAATTAATTAAATTTTAGTAGTTCCATTTAAAAAATAATAAAAGCAGTAGATCATATATTACATCATTATCAAAATTGTGCTAAAATTGAATTATACTTTTTCTTATTAAATATAAAATTTTAAATTATGAAATGCAACTAGAGTCATTTTATGTTTAATTATTTTTGGATATATTATCAGTAAATTTAATATTATGAATTGACTTTTAAATCATTTATATGAATAATATAATCTTTATTCATCTTGCCACTTTAAAATTTGGTATCTGATTTGTTCATGTATTTGCTTCTGTTGTTTGTATGCTCCTAATGGTGCATTTTATTTGCATTTATAAAGAGTGTATTTCTTAGCAGTTACAGCAATCTGCATTAAAATTTGTTCTTAATAATTTTAAAAGCTCTTACTAATAATCTGAATTTTTATTTGCTATGTATACAACCAAAATGTCATTTTCTGAAATCATAAGCAAGCATTATCTTTATATTGTAGGTTGCCTTTGCTGCAACAGATTCAGTTACTGGACTGAAGCTTATTGAAGCAGGTGTCCACAAAGAGCATTTGGCACTATTAGCTGTTCCAATGGTTCCGCTTCAAATATTGCTTCCGCTTTTAATTAGCCGATATACAGCGGGACCTAAACCACTTTCTGTCTTTTTGACTACTTATCCATTTAGGTACATTTAAGGAATATGTTAACCAAATTTAGTTTTTATTTTTATATTTTAAAACTTTTATTTGTTTACAGTTTAAATTTATTTCATAAGAAAATATTTATTTTTTTAAATTTTTTTTAAAGGTTGATGTTTGGTCTGTTGTTTGCCTTTTTGGTATGGTGGACACATCAAGTTAAACTTGAAACAGGAGATTTTCCTGTGTACTATTATGCAGTTATCATTATAAGTTATGCCTTACATCAGGTAAATATTGATCTGATATTTATGATATGAAATTATTGTTGTGAATTTGGTGTGTGTGTGTTTTATTATTATTATTATTATTATTATTTATAAAGGAAATGGACTACAGGCATAGCTTGCATTATTATAGGTTTAGGTTCCTTTCATTCCAATAAAGTAAATATAATAAAAAATAATGCGTGTACTTTCTTATTTTTAAATGCATGTAGAAGTTATGCAGACTGTTCTTTTAAAAATGCACCACTTTTTTAAGAGTGTATAATTTTGTGCATATTTATTTGTAGTAATCAGTAAGTCTCTGGTTATTGCGGAGGTTCCCAGAATGTGCACTGGGGCACTGTGGAGTATGGGGGGGGGTCATTGCAAGATACTCCTAGCCTTGTTTCAGAGAGAGACAATACATGCGTTGAATACTTGGTCGTATTTTTCATTAATAATATTTTTATTCATTTTTTTCATTATTTTATTTTATTTCTGAAAATAATAGTTTCTTAAGTTTTTCTCAAAATTTATATTTTAATTGTTCATTTGATTCCATTTAAATTGTATTTTTAACAGTTTTATTTTTCCTTTTAATCTAATAAAATTCTTGTTCTCAATTTTAATTTTTAAAGTGCCTCATTATTCTATCACTTAGTTCTTTCAATTTGCAATAATTCTGTGTTGTTATGTCAGATTTATGCTCAATTATTCTTGTACATTCTGTTACTTCCTGTCATAAGATAGTTGTGGCTTCTCAGTGTTGGCATTTCTTTTTTCCACTCAGGACTGCCAGTATCAAACTTACAAATGAGTGGGGGACATCGTACAGCCTCCAGATGTGTTGTCTGTTTAAAAAATATTTGTACACAAAATATTCTTCCATGTAAATGTCTGTTTAAAGAATCTAACTTCTTCAAGAAATTCCAACTAAAAAAATTTTTTAGTTGGAAGTTGCCACATTTACAAAAGCAAAGCAATGCATTCACTAAACATGTGTAAATTCTGAGTAATGCACTGCTAGCATCTTTTAAGGTAATTCACAGAGTGATGAAGTCCAAGAAACCACATAGTATTGCAAAAGAGCTTATTATACTGGCTGCTGTCAATAATATTATGGCTGGAAACCTTATTTTTAAGCTATCACTATCCAACACTATTAGTCGAAAAATTCAATGATCAGCTGATAGAGAAAATGAAAGGAAATGAATTTGGTCTGCAACGTGATGAGGCTAATGAGAGTAACAATGATAGAAATCTTATGCATTATGTAGGCTTCCTGTGTGGTAATATTATTATTGTTAAAATCTTCTATTTTGTAAGAGCATCATTGGAATGCAAAGGCTTAAGACTTGTTTGAAATGCTTGATGAGTTTATGGTGGAAAGTGATTTAAATTGAAAAAAGTGCATCAGTGTATGTACTGATGATGCTTGATCAATGTTCAAGCACTCTGAAGGACTGCAGACATATTTGCAGCAAAACATCACATGCTGTGTGGACCCATTGAATTATTTGCAGAGAAGCATTTGCATTGAAGTTGCTTAGTTCTGAGTTAAATTTGGCATTAGAATGTGTCATAGACATAGTAAACTACATAAAAATTAGACCAAGCAAGTAAACAAAATGTTTCAAAATCTATGCCAGGACATGGAAGATCAAGATCATAGCTTTCATACAAGGTATCAACTACTCTGAGTTTAAACCAATAAAATCAGTTAAGGCTGAAGGCCGCTCACTTGTACTTTATTAACTCAGGGGTGCATTGGCACCGCGCCCACAGGCGAAAAATGTTTGAGGAGGCAAGTCTTGAGGGAAGGCATTCTGGATAGATAAAATTAAATCAAAATTCGTCAAGCAATTATGCTTGGTGTAAATCATTGAGTAGGTGCTGGGAGCAGTTTATCATACTATGCACATGGACTTCGTTGACTGAAAAGAGCAGGGATGCGTGAGAGTAGCTAAGATAGATCATGTGACTAAAAGTTGCGATCTGATTTGCATAGCTTAAAAAAAAGTAGTTCATTAAAAATAATATGTGAGAGTCAGTAATCCATTTAAAATAAATTAATAAGCAACTTAGTCTCTATTAAGAAGCACTTCTTGGAAATATAAGTAGTAACAAGTTGAAAATAACTTGAGAAACTTGCAAATTAGTAAAACATTCTAAAGTAGGCGTGTTGGTCACGTAAACCAATCAAAGGTGAGATAAATTTAGTGCAGAGTCAGTTAAAGGATTCACTGATACAATATGAAACACATTTTAAGGAAAATAATTCAAAGTCCTAATCAGCTAACAACAGTCTTTAATGTTCACAAAATAGTCCGATGCTTTGCCATATGCAAATAAAATGAAAACACTAATATAAAACACATTTCACAACACTAATACGATTCTTGATTAAATATGGATAAATACAAGTAACTGTAGGAGAATTGAAACTATTTACATAGTATTTACAATATTTACATATTCACCACTTTGGATTGTGGTGAATAGAACATGGTCATCACGCATCCCTGCTCTTTTCAGTCAACGAAGTCCATGTGCATAGTATGATAAACTGCTCCCAGCACCTACTCAATGATATTACGACTTAATGCTATTAATTGCTATGACCGAATTTTGAGGAATTTATCTATCAAGAATGCCTTCCCTCAAGACGTGCCTCCTCAAACATTTTTCGCCTGTGGGCGCGGTGCCAATGCACCCCTGAGTTAATAAAGTACAAGTGAGCGGCCTTCAGCCTTAACTGATTTTATTGGTTTAAACTAGAGCTTGATTACCTTGATGAATTGCTGATCTATCTTCCCTTGTCCTGGCATCATTTGAAACATTTTGTTTACTTGCTTGGTCTAATTTTTATGTAGTTTACTATGTCTATGACACATTCTAATGCCAAATTTAACTCAGAACTAAGCAACTTCAATGCAAATGCTTCTCTGAAAATAATTCAATGGGTCCACACAGCATGTGATGTTTTCCTCTGCATGGTCATAGTTAGCTAGGTTTTTTATTGTGTTGTGTGGCAAATTGATGATACTATTGAAGAATTTATAGGAATAAATCAGAATTTGTTCTTGTATTTCTGGAATTTTTAAATCGTGATAAAGTTGAATATTTCTAATGAACCAGCATGCATTGGTCATATCATGTAGAATCTTACTCTGCATTATGCTTAATTTTTTTTCTGTAAGTCTTGCAAGCTGTGCCCCAAGTACGCACAACGTAGAGAAGTATTGGGCGAATTAAAGTCGAATACAGGGTTCGTTTAGACCATAAATTTAACTTAGAATTCCTTCCAAGGAGTCGATATAGAGCCATAAATGCGGCATTGGCTTTGATGGTAACATAATTGATATGTTCTAAGAAAGTGAGCTGTGAGTCGATATAAACTTTTAAGTACTTATAAGAGCTTGCAGTGAGTATGAGCACACCGTCTACCCTGATGTCTATATTAACGTGGAAGTATTTTCTTTACTTTCTGTGCTATACGATACAACACTTTGCTGGATTAAGGTTGATCTTTCATCTTTTACACCATCTTTCGATAATGTTAACTTGATTTTTGAGTTTATCAATAGCATGCTGTGGGTTTAAGGAATTAGTTAACGCAACCGTCCCATCAGCGTACTTAAGTATTCTTGCATTTGGGGGTTTAGGCATATCACTTGCATAAAGATTAAAGTTTGCGTTAGAAATCACGGAGCCTTTTGGAAGTACTCTAAAGATATTTTTGCGATTTGACAGGGTGTCTCCGCAGCAAACCTGAAAAGTATGTTCTTCTAATTAGGAAATCATTAGTTTCAAGAAGTTGTTATGTGGATTAAGTTTAGATAATTTGTAGTTAAGACTAGCATGCCACACTCGATCAAAAGCTTTTTCAAATCGAGGTAGCATGCTGCAACTCCATTTTCCTTCTGAAATTCTAAGGCGATGAACTCTATCAAGTTTAAAATTTGATGAGTGGTGGAATGAGCTCTTTTAAAACAAAATTGTTGATCATTGGTATTATTCAATTTTTCATTATAGGTGTTTAGTCTTGAGGCAATGATACATTCGAAGACTTTACTGATAACAGGGAGCAGACTAATAGGGCGATAACTCTGAAACATCACTAGGGTTTTTCCGTGGCTTCAGTAACATGATAGCGATTGAATGCTTCAAATTTCTTGCGAAATGGATGAGTCAGATGTAGGAATTAAAAATATGGCATAGGAGCACAATACAGTTCTTGGGTAGGGCCTGCAGGGTTTCATTATTTATTTTGTCAAAGCCACGCGCCTTCTTTTTCTTAAGCTTCTTTATAATATCGTGCATTTCTCTGGGAAAGGTAAAATTTATAACGTCTCTTGTTCTTCTTAATTTAATTTCTTCAAGTTCATTATTAATCATGTAATCAAATGGGGCTATCTTTGGAGTGCTGTTCTAAAACTTTTTCTAAACTTTCAGCTATTATTTCTGCGATTTCTTGCTCGGAATTATGAGTGTTACCCCTGTGCGTAGGGTGTAGGCGATTTGAATATTTTGAGTGAATAGAACTTGCAATTTTCCAGACAGTGTTAGGTTGAAAATCTATATTCTCAGACAGGGAGTACCATTTATTTTAGCGATAATTAATTATTTCTTTGGAGATTTTCCTGTTTAGATAGTTTACATGGGTCTTTTCGCTTGGATCTCTTGTTAGTTGCCAATATTTTCTGCTCCTATTTCTTTCTTGAATTAGACCCAAAATATGTTTAGGGAGTTCCTGATGAGTAACATTTTTCTGGACATAATGATGCTGTAGCCATTGCTCTTTGGATTTTATTGTTTTAAGTTTTTTAATTTCCTGTTCGATATCCTCAGTGTTCTGGGTCAGGACTGCTAGGAAAGCTGAGAAGTTCATTTTTATAGATTTTCCAGTTGACTTTAATCTTTGGTCTGACGAGGGGTGGGTAAAACCCATAAAAGTCAAATTTGACTGGATAGTGATCTGAAGATAGTTCCTTCACAACTTTATGGTAAGGAGTCGAGTAGATATTTTTAAGTATGAGAATATCAAGGATATCTGCCCTCCCATCATAGTGATATCTTGTAGGGATTTCCGGGCTATGATTCTAATATTACTATTAATAGCATAATTGTTGACTATTGTACCATTACGATTATTAGCATTACAGTTCCAGCTAGTGTTTTTGGCATTTAGATCCCTGGCAATGAGGGTCGGAAAATTGAAGTTAGTGAGATTGTCTAAGTCAGTGCTGCTTAAGCTATTTTGAGGAGGATTATATGCTGATATAAAGAGAAAAGGATAATTAAATCCAGTATAAATTAAGGCTCCGGTGTTCTCCACTCTTCCTGTATCTGGGATGTTGATACCTGTAAATTTAATGTTATTTTTAATCAGTATGGCGGTGCCGCCTCTGCTGTTATGAGTGTGATCATTTCTGAGAATATTATACCCTTGAATTTTGAATTTTTAATTTGGATAGAGATGGGTCTCATTTATCATCATAACTTCAATATCATGCTTCTTTAAATAATTATAAATTATACAACAGTTTTAATTATGAAGCAGTTATCATTAGGTTCTAGAAATGTAATAAATCCAGAGTTTGATTACCTATACCATGATAGCCTAATCAAGGATATGTACCAAATTTAAAAAAAAAAAAAAAACAAAAAAAAAAAAAAATGGTAAATGAACTAAATGGAAAAGTTTAAAACTTCCATAAATCAACTTGGAAAAATTTAAACATTTTATTTTTCATTATTTAAAATTCTTAGAAATTATTGCATCTTAAATGATGTATCTATTGGAATTTTACCTGAAGACTACCGGTATATGCTAACATAAATACTTAAAAATGATAAAATATTAGCAGATAATATGCAGTTTATTAAGTTTGAATGTTCAGGTGGATTCTTTGTACTTTGTTCAGGTGGATTCTTTGTACCCCACCCCCCCATGAAAAGTCAGCAATGAATACTGATGAATTTTTAAAAACATTCATTGGCTATCTTTATGCCTCATAGATATTGTTTTGTTCATAAGTAACAACAAAAAGAAATATTTTTTATGCAGAAACAAAAATCTATATGGCCCATATTTAGAAAAATACAGGATACTGTCAGCAAAATATCTGCTAAATATAAATCATTTAAATCGGTTTGCTGCTCACACATATATTTTTGAAAATGTGCCAAGAGGTGGAGTTCTACAGAATATTGAAATTTTCATGTAGATAATCAGAAAGTAATGATTTTTTTTATATCTTTTCCAAATACCTATATTATTTACAAAAAGTCTTTATTATGACAAATATAAGAAGTAGAATGGATGCAAGTACAGAATAATGCTTAAATAATATTAAATTAATATCAAAACATTCTTCATAACAACAAATCACTCTCCAGGTAAAACTCCAATAGATGGAATTCAAATTTAAATAATTCCTTCAATAACTTTTTTGAATTTAAAAACATGAAAAATAAAATACTTGCTTAAATATCTCTATGTTTTGATACTTTAGCACAAGAAATAAATTGCTAAATATGGTTTCCAATACTGAATTGTAAGTCTTTGCCTACAAGGGAGGAAGAAGCTGTATTATCTTTTCAAGAAAAAGACATTTTGTTTACTAATGCAAATTGTGCAAAACTCATGAAATGGAGCTTTATTTTGCTGACGGCATTTGATTACAGTGTAACATTTCTGTTTATTGTAGCAAAAAATATTATTTATAAATAAAAATGGTTTGAATCATAAAGATTGAGTTTTTAACATCTCTGAGATTCACTAATGGTTGGAGTGAATTCTAAATAATATTCAAAGTTTTGAGCCACATAATTGAAATAAGGAAAATAGTAGCTTTTTTGTAATTATGTGTTAAATGTGGATTTGTATAGCTACAAAGAAAGCTTTTGCAAATGGCATGCAGCCCACTCTTCCTTCACAGGGTTAGGTCTGTCAGCAGAAACAAGATACTGGCCTGCTAATGAAATATGGCTGCTGCTGACTGGGACTTGTCTGTGATTGTTTTCCTACACACTCTATTGTAAAGCTCTTTCTTGATGGAGGACCCCCTTCCTGTGGAACATGTTTGTTAATTTGCTTGTCCCTAGAGCCCCCTCATCTTCTTAGGGCAAGGCTGGCAATCGAAGATTTTGTCAGCAGTACCCCATGATGTTACTACGTCCTGCAGATATGTAATAAAAATTTAAAAACAAGTTTTTGGTACACCTCTGTACTCAAGCATGGTATCAAATGACATGATGAATGAATTTGACATCATAATTTTCTTAAAAAGCTTTCTTGCATTAGATTGACATGTGGTACGTTTTAGCACTATCTCTTGTCAGTATAATTATGTGTAATCTGAGTCATGATTTATGAATCATCAATAATCACATCTTGTTTAATATGACCTTATAAGCAAATATTAGATCAAAATTGTTAGGTTAAACATTATCAAATCTGTTTTATTATTGCATCATTTCCATATAAATAGCACAATTTTCTTTAAATATGTGTGTAGTTCTGTTTTGATAACTGAAAACTTTTGCTGTTTCAAATAGCCTAAATCACATCTCTTTTCATTCTTCATTTTTTCATGATTATTATTTCTGATCTGCTATTACTATTAATTTTTATCTCTATTTGCTATGATTAATCACATTAACACAGCATATTATAAAACTGAAAGAATTTATATTCCAGTTTAAAATTACATTAGATATATCTAAACTCAGTATTTTGTTTAAGGTCATGTATTTTTAATGGTTTGATTTGTATATTTTTAGGTTACTGTATATAGTATTTTTGTAGCACTGATGGCTTTTTTTGCAAAAGTGAGTGATCCATCCATTGGTGGAACTTATATGACATTGTTGAATACAATCTGCAACCTTGGAGGAAATTGGCCCAGTACATTAGCCTTATGGATGGTTGATCCTCTTAGTACAAAGAAATGTGAAAACTCATTATACAGCTGTGATACTAAAGAATTAGCTTCAGTAAGTTATCAGTTATGTAAAAATTCTTATGTAGCTAAAATTTATTTATTTGTAAAAGCAAAATAAAAACTATCAACAGATGAACGAAGATGGCAGAATAAAGAGTTCTGAGATAAAGATGAATAATAATCTGTAAAATTAGGTATTTGCCATTACTTTCATGTGAAAGGTCTTAATGATTTTAATGGTTTTCCCATCTTCAAATACCAAACGGCAGATGATCATATTATCTCAAAATACATTGAAACGTTTTTAAATTAAGGTACTCTTCTGTTATCAGGACCAGGTTCATAAATGTATGTATGTATGCATGTATATATGGATGTATGTGTTCATGTATGCATGTATATATGTATATACATATGTGCATGTGGACACACATATATATATGCACATAGACACATGCACATGTGTGTACATACATACATTCTTGAATCTGGATCCAATAAAAAAGAAGAGAACTGAAATTAATAAATTTTACGTATTTCATATTAGTATGCAGCTATTAAGAAAATAGTTTTATTATTTAAAAATCGTAATCATTAAAAATTGTGATATTTAAATAATACATTATGTATAATTGTTTTAATTCATTAAACTGTAAGTCTTTGAATATTTTAGTTTTATCCATAACTAATATTTTTATCAAGTCAACATTTAATGTTTTAAGTATTTATTTCCAAGCCTGTACCTTCAACAACAGTTAAAATTTCAATAGCTTTTCAGGAATTGGTCAAGAGTTAAAATTGCTAAATTTGATTAAAAAATTACTCTTGTTACTTTTTTCTTTTTTGTTAACTTATTTATACTATTGAGGAATTTTATGGAATGCGTTAATATTAAAATTCATTCTTATAATTTGATTCATAATTAACTAAAAACTTGGTGAAATAAAGTGTACATATATTATTTCTGTTGATATAAGCTATGTATTTATCATTTTATTTTTACTTTTAGTGTTTAATCTGTATTTTTTTATTATATGTAGTAAGTTGTGTTTTTATTGTTGTGTGAAATTGGGAGCTGAAAATTTCCATTAATGGTACTTGCTTTCTTATTTTATGCCACTTCAGCTTAAAGCATATTTCATAAGCATTTTATATTTTTGTAAAATAGAAAGGCTTTGTCACTTAATATCAGTACATTGACATGTGTAAATTTATGTAATCATATAAAAAAATTTGTCTAGTACATTGACATGTGTAAATTTATGTAATCATATAAAAAAATTTGTCTAATGTGTTCTTGAAAGAATTTGCTTGTGTCTTCCTGTAATAGGGTTTCCTAATCCAAATACAAAACATTTGCTTGAGTGTTTTTGTATTTAAAGTTTTAAATTTGTTTCTGTTATTAAAATGTCCTAATTTTTCCTATACAATTTATTGAAGATAAAATTAATTTTGGGTCCTTGATTTTAACTGATGTAACTTTATTTTTCTTTCAGAAATGTACTGAAGCTGGTCATAAATGTATTACTGTGATAGACGGCTATTACATAGAAACAGTTATTTGTTTCATAATAGGACTTTTATGGTTAAGGTGGGGTCGAAGCACCATTCGTAGATTACAACATTTACCATTATCTGCATGGAAATGCCCTAGGTAAACGTTTTTCTTATATTTATTGTCTAGAAATATTTTGGTCTTTAATTTTATAAATTAAATAATTAATTTTTATTATATTATTATCTGGAAGTATTTTGGTCTTTGATTTTATAAATTTAAATAATTTATAAAATTAATTATTTAATTTTATAAATTTTATTATGTATTAATTCACATTCTTGCACCATATTCCCTCTATTATATTAAAACTAATGACTTTCGAAACTTGTATGGAAAATGACTTGTGTTTGTTGCATATAACCCTTATTTCCTTTTCGCCATACATTGTAAATCATTGTTAGATGCTGTTAGGTACCAGCTCTCTGTTTTTCATAGCATTTCTTGGTTTTAAAATTTTAACCTACTAATTCTCTGTTACTGACATGGTTTTGTCTTTTCACCCCTAAAACTGCAAGTGAAAAGCTAAAAATGAAACTAGGGATAGTGACACTGATAAACTGCGAACAGAATTCTGCGAATTGCACACTAAAGTGTATATTGCTTTTCATTCTACTAACTATAGGCTTAAGTTACAATCAATACTACTACTATCACTTCACTTAATGCTATCATAATTGATATGAACTTATTCCAATATGCTGTAATAGGGCTTCAGCCCAGGAACCTGTTTCTTCTGACCTGACCTTAGTCCAGATAAGGAAAGAAACTAAAAAATCTCTCTCATGAAATTCTTCAAGAAAAATGCATTGCTAAACAGTTTGTTTTTATCTCAAATGACCATAGCAAAAGAAAAAGAAAAGATCCTAGGCTTCAATATCAATTTTGACTATTCTTTACAGTAATGCTTAGATATAAGTGAGTGAGGAAAATAACGATAGAATGTTGATCAACTGTAATGTACTGTAGACATTTATATAGGTTCAGCATGTGTTTAATTAGTTGATATTTTTATTTAATTTTGTATTACATCACTAAATGGTACATTACTAAGTTTGTTAGTTTATTTCCACATTCGTATGTGCATTAGATACTAATTTTATTTTCATCGCATTTAAAAGTACTTTATTAAAATAAAGCTTTCGTCCTATTTCTGGTTTTTGTCATAATAAAAGTTTAAGAAAATTATAAAATAAAATTAGCCCTCCCCCCCCCAAAAAAAAACTATGCTTAGATTATCTAACTAAATTTTAGCACATTTTATTTCTGGATTTCACTTTTATGCTGCAGAAAAGGACTGCTAACCCTACGGTTAAAACATTTTCTTCACAGCATTATTGTCCTCCTAGCGATCTAATGCTGCTGCGCCCCTCCGCAAGATAGCCAGCAGAACAGACTGCTGCAAACATATGAAGAATAAGAAGTTCACCAGGCTATTTACTGCAATGCATAAATCCTCGTAGGCTACATGGTCTTGTTCTAATCACCGACTAAGTGAAATCACTGATGGTCCTGTGTTCAGATAGAGATTAAATTTAAGACTTAACAAGCACAGTTACAATATTACAATTTAAGATGCTTGAGGCTGCATTACAGATATATGATTTAACATTTAGAATACTTATCATATATTATACCCCTTTCAGGCTAACTTCACAGAGCGCTATTGAACAATGCATTGAAGGTGATATTAGAATTAGTACTTGCTCTGTTAAATGGAGCAATTATGATATTAGAATTGAACAAGGTAATAATCATAATACAATTGAAGCAAAGATTGAATTCTGTTGTTACAATAGGCAGCAAACCGAAACAAGGATTATACATAGATGCAGTGTGTATATAAATGCAGTACAATTGAACACACACACACACACACACACACAAAAAAAAAAAAAAAAAAAAGAGCATGTATGCAGGTACTATTAAATTAAGTGTTTATGCTACTAATGAAACTTTTGGTAATGAGACCTACTGTTGTGCTTCTGCTTTGCAGAGTGTCATTACCTAGTATTACAAATCATAGAGACTTATGTTGTTCTGAGACAAAGGTGTGCATAGCTGTTGGTTAATTTCTGATCGAGCAAGATGCCGAGTGCTAGGTTGCCCTGTTGTGCCCACTTACAGCTGAGTTTTTTGTTGCACAGTACGTAATAAATTTTCTCAGCTTTACTTTGGCTATGTTGCTCTTAATCATATTTTTGCCCATTGGGCCCAAAATTGCTGGCTTGGTTTCTTTTGATGAAGATGAGCAGTGTCGGGGCAAAAGAAGCGATAGTGATCTGGGTCACCCACTTCTCCACAGCTACAGGTATCTGTTTCTCTTAGGAAGCGATGTAGATAAGATTCAAAAGGACCATGGCCTGTGAAGTAGTGGGTTAATTCACCAATATTGACTCAGAGTGCTTCCCCCACTTTTGGAAGAAATTCATATGTTCTTATGCTCGTTGTTGCTGTTTCCCACCTCTGTTGCCACTGTGCAATGGTCTCTTTTAATTTGGGAGATTGGAAGTTTCACTGAATGTTCAAGTAGACTTGCATCATTTGCTGCCGACTTTGCTGCTCTGTCTGATTCTTCATTGCCTTGGATCCCAATGTGGGCCAGGACCCAATAAAGACTCGGATGGGCTGCTTGTGGCTGCTGAAGGAGCAGACAGCGAAGTTCCTTTACTTGTGGACTCTGAACTAAAAATGGCTATTTTTCTGTCTGAATTATTTCTCACATATACTAAGGCTGCCATTAATCCAGCTAATTCAGCCTTATGCACTGAGTTAGATTCATTCAGTCATCTTCTCCACTCATGCAAGATCACCCTTCCTTTATAGCACAGAAGGCGCTTCCTGTATCTTTTGAGGTCTTGGATCCATCTGTGTACAGTGAGAGTGCCACACTACATGAAGCCAAGTAATTAAAAAAGATGTCAGCACTCGGATCAATGTCCGCAGGGTGACCCAATAGCTTCGACCTGTGTTTTTCATAATCCCTAGCAAAGTAGGTTTTTTGTCAAAGTGTACCATCCTCTTCAAGGCAGTGCACTCTTGAAATTAATGACTCTCTTTCTGCAATTAGGTCTAGCGGCAGGAGTCTGCTAGAACCTGGAGTGCCATGGTTGGCATAGTTCTATATCCCTTGCAGATCAATAGCAGCTGCATTCCCTGCATGTTTAGAAGTGTCTTTCTCATACTTTTTAGTATCTAGAATTTTGCATTTCAAAGTAAACTTAAATTCAATTCTTGAAATTGCATCATGGCAAAGTGCAAAAAACAACTAGTCTTCACATGAAAATCTCCCAGTTTTTCATAGTTCACAGTTGATATTTACATTCACAGCAGAAATATTTATCTTTGGCCTAGCAAAATACTTAAGAGTACATTAAAAACTTCAAAATTTTTCTTTCTTTAAAATACAACTGAATATTTTAGAAATTATAAAATAGAAGATAGCATTTCAGGAGTTAGCATTTTGCTAAATCTCTATAAAACAGGATTTCACATTCTGTAGTCCTTGAAGCCTGCTTGTATGGTCTTCCTAGGTTTTCAAAAAAGACAAAAAATAGAATTCAAATTAACTGTGTTTAGTGCACTATTGCTGGAAATATCAGACTTTGGAAATTGCACACAGCAATTATCTATCATGTTTTTCTACAAAGATTGGACATTTTATTAAATTTACTGATCTTTACCCTACCTACAGATTTTCCTTTCAATCTTAGCAACAAAAGAGGGATTTAAAACATGAAGACTAATGCTTCTCTTACCAGCATATATCCAAACATAGAACAGTTATGCTAGAATCAGCAGACTCATTCATCTAATTAATGTGTATTCTGATAATGCTTTCACTGCTGGTCATGTGAGGTTGTATCGATAAACAACGCTGTGTCATAGAAATAGATTGTACCCATATGCCAACTTACTTATTATACAAAATGTGATTTAATAGAGGTAATAAAAGATTATTATGTTTACCACATTGGTTACTAAGCCTTTAAGCATAGAATTTTATGACTAAGTGGCAGCACCTGATCAGTGCTAGAGATAAAATTATTTCTTCAATGCCGCGTTGCGGGCTGGCACGAGGCATTTAAAAATGAATCAAAATAAGTAACAATATGCATTATTTATATATAAAACTATATCACAAACAAATATACATATTACAAATGAATTTATTACAAGATAGTTACAATGATATTGTTGCAAACTATATATTTGAATCTTATTTGTGTATGATCTTTGCATGAAATGAAACGTCGCGGCGCGCAATGAACTGGAAGTTGATCTGTAATCAATATCCTTATCTTCAGGGCAGATGTTTTTATTTTATTCGGCTTATAATTCCTTACTAAATGTAGTATTTCATCTCGATGTACTCAGTCTTTGATATGATTTAAATCAAGTTCCCCGTCATTATAAATATCAGGAATACACATCAAATAGTTTTCTGGGTGCAATTTTCTAATTTCGACTATGTGTAATGTATGCTTCACGCATGCACGCGTTGAAAGAAATGTTTAATAAAGTAAACAAATAAATATTAAGGTTTTTTTTTTTTTTTTTTTTTTTTTTTTTGTAAATTTTGATACCCTTTAGATCACAATTGCTCTTTATTTCATAAACTACGATTTCGTATTTTTAATTGCATAATTTCTGTATGCCATCTTACCAGATTTAAACTGATGTTCTATAATCCGGAAAAATTGATAATCTAGAATCACCGAAGTCCTGACGAGTCCGGATTATAAAAGTCTTTAATCCGTATACGTATGCAATCCTTCACTCATCCAACACTCCCACCGCTTTCGGACTTCAGCTTTGAAGGATTTATTACCTGACAAATCTAATGGTTGTAAGATTTTTGTCAAACCACCAGGAATTATTGCTACGGTCGTAGACAATTTTTGATATCTGGTTTTCACTGACTCAAGTAAATTAGCACGCATGGAATCCATTATCAATAAGCCTTTTGGTTGGAATAAAGATCCCTTTTGACACTGCCAAACTTTTTGTAGCCACACATGCATGATTGTTTTGCACATCCAGCCATTCTCATTTGCACAATAATTACGTCATTAGGAAAATCTCCCTTCGGAATAGTT